GAGAGAGAGAGAGAGAGAGAGAGAGAGAGAGAGAGAGAGAGAGAGCGGAGAGAGAGAGAGAGAGAGAGAGGGAGGGGGAGTTGAGAGAGGAGACAGGCGAGAGAAAGAGAGAAGAGAGAAGAGAGAGAGAGAGAGAGAGAGAGAAGAGAGAAGAGAGAAGAGAGAGAGAGAGAGATAGAGATAGAAGAGAGAGAGAGAGAGAGGAGAGAGAGAGAGAGAGAGAGAGAGAGATAGAGATAGAAAGAGAGAGAGAATAGAGAGAGAGAGAGAGAGAGAGAGAAAGTGGAGAGAGAGTGGGGGGGAGAGAGAGAGGAGAGAGAGAGAGATGGGATGGGAGGGAGATAGAGCGATGAGATGAAGAGAGAGAGAGAGAGAGAGAGAGAGAAGAGAGAGAGAGAAGAAACAAAAAAAAAAAAAAAAACCTGGCGACGTACCCAACCCCTGCGCAAAAGCGGGTCGCAAATAGTTTAGGATACTTTATAAAGGGGGCGATGACGGAGCGAGGGCTACATATGTATGCAGACAGAATTCGGGAGACTCGCAGGACACTGCTACAGGAAAAGGGCTTGATAAAGCTGATGACTTACAATTCCTGAGCACTCCTAGCCACTTCGAAAACGGGGATCACAGCAGGCCTCGAAAGTGGCGACAGGTTCACAGATCGCAGCCCCGCAGGGATGGCGAGGTCTCATTTGAATCTGCCCGTGGCCCTCACTGTGCTGGGCCCCCCAGCAGGCCTCGAAAATGGCGGCAGTTTCGCAGATCGCAGCCCCCCAGGGAGGGCGAGGTTCCTATTTGAATCACGCGAGTGGCCCTCCACCGTGCTGGCCACCCAAACCCGCAAGTGATCATTCATCACCCTAAAGCAGGCACCGTGCGAGCCCCCAGCAGGCCTCGAAAGTGGCGACAGTTTCACAGATCGCAGCACACCAGGAATGGCGAGGTCTAATTTGGATCTGCCGCGATTACCCTCTATGCTGGACCCCCCAGCAGGCCTCGAAACTGGCGACAGTTTCACAGCCCCCCGCAGGCAAGACAGAAAGAGGCAGGAAAGAGGCGGGAGGCGGGAGGAGGAAGGACGCGACCACACTGCTCTATTCAAAACGAATACCCAACCAAGGAGGGCTGGGAAAAAAGGAAAGAGAAAGAGAGAGAGAGAGAGAGAGAGAGAGAGAGAAAGAGAAAGGGAAAGGGAGGGAGAGAGAGAGAGAGAGAGAGGAAGAGGATGAGAGAGAGAGAGAGAGAGAGAGGGAGGAGGAATGATGAGAGAGGTAAGGAGAGAAAGAATGAGAGGAGAGCGAAGAGAGAGAGAGAGAGAGAGAGATCAGAAGAGAGAGAGACGAGATATAGAGAGAGAGACGGAGATTGGGAGAGAGAGAGAAAGAAAGAAAGAGAGGAGCGAGAGAGAGAGAGAGAGAGAGAGAGAGAGAGAGAGAGAGAGATGGGGGAGCTAGTGGGCGAGTGGAGCTGATTAAACGCAACGGTAACATGGGGGTGCTTGAGGGCGCGGTAAGGGGTGGAAAAGCGGGTGGCTGTTGGAGCATGGATAGAAGTTTGAGTCGGCATGGTAAACGTTATGACGTGCGCATTGTCACGGCCCCAATGCCCTTCCATGACGCGACTCCCCCATGCATCTATTCGAACTCTCACCGTCCTAACTCTGCGCGGCGCTGCCCTCCCCGCCAGTCCACGGGCCTCGCGCTGGACAACATGAGCTTGTGCGACGTCAACTCGTCCTGGCTGGTAGAGCAGTGCAGGCAGCAGGCACCCAAACGCGGGACGTTCGTCATCCTTCCTTCTCCTGCTGCCGCTCTCCTCATCCCTCTCATCCTCCTCGTGCTGGCCTGCTCTCTTTGGGCGCTGCTGTCGAAAGCGCAGCCCGCGCTGACTATCAATGTCTGTCAATGTCTGCGTTCGCAGCGTGAATCTTCACCCCATCCCCCCTGCATCTACATCAACTGCCGCCCTCAATCTCGAGACTCTCCTCCTCCGCCGGCCCAGCGGCTTTGTGCTCGAATCCTGCCGCGTGGCATGTGAGGGGCCGATGCATTTGTTCACGCGCTAACTCTCGCACCCTCTCCACCACTCCCCTCCCCCATGAGAGAGGGGGCCAAAGAGAGGATGGATTGGGTGGCGGGAGCGTGGGATGAGAGGGTAGTGGATACGCAGCATGGGCGGCTTGTCCTCCCACCCCCGTTGCTGAGCTGGCCCTTAGCCCACTCGGAGTGGGCCGCGCCCCCACTGCCCCCTCGCCTCACTTCCGCTGCTGAGCTCTGGCGCATGCTTCTGACGAGGAATGCCCGTCATATCTTGCACGTGCGTCGGCATGGCATATGCGTTTCTCTTGGTTCGACATCAGCTGCTCTGAACTGGCGCAGCCCGCGTGGAAGCACAGACAAAACACATCGATATCATAGCATTGCGTTGCATTGGACCGCGCGGACCTGCATGCAAAGATCGATCCGCAACGCACTACGTAGATTCAAAGCGTGAGAGGCAGAAACAAGCAGCAGAAGAAGAAAGAAAGGAGAAGGCAGAAACGACGGAAATCCTCCAGGCCCTTCTCCGATGCGCAGCAGTGGCGGTGGCTAGCCATCGCCACTGCTATACTGCGAGTTTTCACCCCGCACCAAGAAACTCACGCCGCGGTTGCGACATTGCGGAGGGCCCGTCGCTTCTCCACCTCAGGTTCCTTCTCCTTCTATCCCGTGCGAGTGGATGATGGGGGTCGAGCGCAGCTACGCTCGACCCCCATCATCCACTCGCACGGGGGGGGGAGGCCGTGGAAGTGAGCACAACGGGGAAGATGATGATATCAGTTGTGTTTCGCCTCGAATGCGAGCGTTGACAATCGCGACAGATGCCGCGAACAAGTTCACAGTGTCCAGCTGCGACCATCCAGGGCGCATTTAAAGTTTGCAGCGCGCCCCCCTACCAGGGCGCAACGAGCACGAAACAACCAATAATAGATGCAAGTCCCCTGCTCCACTCTGTTCTCCCTCGGGTTAGCTCATGCTAGTTGGCCCCCTCCCTCCCCATCCGCCCCGTCCTCGTTGCATTCCTCCACCTTGTCGTTATCCCCTTCCCTTGCGCCTTCGCATTCCTACTCCCACTCCTCCTCCTCGCACATTTCGTCTTCCTTCTCCTCTCCCTCCCAAACGCCAGTCAAGGTCTACGGCCGAGCTAGTCGGCGTTCTCTCGCAAAAACTTGTTGCTAGCAGCCTTCTCCATCACAGTTCCCGAGGCTGACTGCGGCGGCTCATGCGCCTGCGGGCGAGCTTTGTTAGGTATCCTCGGAGGTGGCACCACCCGCGGCCTCGGGGCTGCCTTCGTCCTCGGGACTGGCTGGTCCGTGATGGGCGTAGACGCTGCAGCTTGGGTCCGCGGCCTTTTCGTCTCCTGATCTGGAGAATTCAGCGAGGCTCGCTTAAACGGGTCGTGCCCTGCTCTAGTTGGGTCGTCGACCCTAGCGAAGCCAAAGCTAATCGGATCCTGCATGTGGGCTGGCGGCGCTGCGTCCGAAGCCGCGCGCACGCTTGCTAAATTTGCCCGCATGCGTTCTCCCAATTCACGAGCCATGCTTCCAACGCCAGGCGATGGCCCCTCGCCGGGCGGCGGCGAGATGCCCGAGGCGCTCGAAGGAGGCGCCGCCGCAGGAGGCGCCGCCACAGGCGCCGCCTTTGCAGCAACCTTAGGGGCCGCCTTTGCAACATTCTTAAAGAAAGGCTCAAGAGCTGAGGGTGGCGTGACTGGCGATGGCGGCCCTACAGGGGCCTCTGGCTTGCCTGGCGCGCGAGGCTGCTGCTCTTTCTGCGGCGGCGTGTATCCCTTTAAACGCTGGGATATCGGCTGGCCCCCTTCGACGTCGGCGAGGCTGGCGTACTTGAAAGCATCTTCGGGCGTCTGTGGATGCTCGCCCCCCGCGCTGTCTGGCTGCGCTGGGCCACGCGCGCTGCCTGCTGCCTCCGAGGGCGCCTGGCCGCCAGGTTCACCTCGAGGGATGCGCTGAAACATAGCCGTCGCGCCACGGATCAACAGGTGCTTATCCAAGCACTCGGCTGCCATCTTGCACACCTGCTGAGCGACCTTGCTGCCCTGGCTGCTGATGGGGTCGTCGTCGCTGGAGCCCGTCGGATCTCGCCTGATTTCCAGCACGAACGGCAACGTGAAGTGGATGTCCTGTTCACATCGTTGCGGCAGCCCCTTGATGTTGCACTTGATCGCCATGGTGTCCAGCTCATATGGAGGCTGTGGCCCAGCGGGCTCGCTGGCTGGCTGGCTGGGGCGCGGGTTGTCAGCCATTGTCGGATGCGGATGGCGATGCCAGAAAGAGCCAAAACGGCTGCGGTTATGGAGCGGCCCCGATCATATCGCAAATTGTTCTAAGTTAGTTGCGTCGCTGGTGTTGGAGCGTCTGCCTACGTAGGCCGACGCTCCAAACCCAGGATTGCTTTTGTTTGTCATGGTAGTGTCGATTCCTCTCATCCACGCTCATCGTTCTCATCCTCATCATCTCCCTTCCCTCATCCTTATCATCTTCTCTCTAGTATGCAAGATATGATGTCCCGTGGAGCAATATATTGCTTCGCGCGCGCGATTGAGCGTACCCTTGATGAAGGTGTGCAGGTGCATATGCGTTTTCTTAAGCGTATCCGATCACCCCATTTGTATTCAGTATCTGCCTACTGCCGATGCGTCGTGCGCGATTTTCGGTTATCTCAGCGCGCGGCTGGTAGCCGACGCAGACCTGCGTGACGTAGCATAGGACAGCAGTGCCAATCATGCATGGCGATGCCACTGTAACGTAGCATACCATTCATAACACGCCAGGCGGAAACATGACATAATAATCAGTTGTCGATGTTGTCATGTCACGCTGCTAACATCCTCGCATTCGGCTCGCCCGAATTGCCCTGCAAAACAAACGATCATTAATTTGTAGGGTTGCAGCATTGTGGAGGGTGGGGGAGTGAAGCACAGAGGAACAACATGAGAGAGCCATGCACTGGGAGGGCTCGGATCAGAAGAGAGCGGCGGGGATCCTGGCGGCGGCGGGGGTCCTAGCGGCGGCGGTGCGCGAGGCGAAGCTGTGGTACGCCGACTCGTCGATCATCCGCGACCTGGACGGGTTCGAGCTCTGCTGCGGCAACGGCGGCATCACGAGGTAGATCATCGAGCAGGGGGGGCGATCCCTCGGCATGGACAGGACCCGCGGCTGGCTTTTGCGACGGCGAGGGGGCCCCGTGGATCCTATCGTCATCGCCCAAGCCAGCCACCCAGGAAGACTGGCCACTCCAGCGAGGACCTCACCACGCTGCCTGGCATGGTGATGGCTCTCTTCGGGGTCTTCCGCGTCAAGCCCAGAGGGGCCTTCTGGTCGTCGCCCGAGTGCAAGACGTGGCTCAACATGTGCATGGGGCACACGAGGCGCGAATTGGCATATCTATGTGTATATATATACATGTATTTATAGATATATGGGGCGTGGCAGGAGGCGGGCAAGGACGAGCGGCAGGGATGCGCGCTGGCGAAAGCAAGGAGGGCATGCGCGCGAGTAAGAGAAGGAGGAGTTCGCGGGAAGGAGACGAGGGGCAATACCAGGAGGATGGAGGCAACAACTATCAGGACGACAACTATCAGGATAGGAGGAATGAAACCTGCGGTCCAACAGGGGCTGTCAGATCACACGAATCGAAAGAGTGAGCTTGGAAAGTGCAGAGCATCAGACGAGATGGCGAGGGTGCGTGCCAATGAGGCCGAGCACCCGCCCTCGCCAACTCGCTCCTCCCCTCTTCTCCGCGCCAGCTCGCGTCTCCAAATTTGGAGACGCGAGTTGGGGCGGCAATCGTTCGCCGCGAATCTTGAGATTCGCGGCGAATGATTGCCGCGATCTCGCCGGTGCGAGCGCCAGAATTTCGCGGTGAGTTCGCGGTGCGTTAGTTGTGAGTTAAGCGTAGTTGGCGGTGAGTTCGCGGTGAGTTGGCGGTGAGTTTCGGTGACCAATGCTACCAACACGCGCTGTTTGGTAGTTTGGTCGGAGGCCTCCGCGGTGAATTTTGGGTGATTCTGCGCGCTGGTATGTCCGTGGATTTTAAAAACCCGCCAACATCGCTCCTTAGATGCCTGATGCCCCTCCCCCATCGCCCCCCGCCTCCTCCTCCGACACCTCCCCCATCCCTCCTATCCCTACGCCGCCCCAACTGGGAGGCGCAGCAAGGGCGACCTGCTCGGCGACATCAGCAGGACCGACGTCAAGGAGGCGAACCACATTGCCCATTTCCTGCGGGGAGCTCGGCACGCACGCGGTGGAGGTGGGAGCGGACGCAGTGCAAGGCGTCGAAGAAGGAGGGTCGACGGGGAGGGGGGGGGGGGTGAGGAGAGTCGACAAGAAGGGGAGGTCGGGGGGGAGGAGGGCCGACAGGGACGGGAGGCTGAGGCGCTGAAGGAGGATGGTCAACAGGGAGCGGGGTAATTTCAATCTTCCTGTCCTCATTCAACCCTCCTTCTCCTCGCCCTCCCTTAAGGGAAGGGGCTGAATGTGAGCGGGTAATTTCCCGCTCGATCGTGGCACGAAGACCCTGGCCCACCTCAGATCTTGCCCTGCAGCCCCCGCGCCTTCCCGCCCCCCCCCCCCCAGGACAAGAAAAGGTCCCCATTCGCGCTTGACTTTTTCTTGGGCAGCCCGCTGCTCCGCCTAGGTCGTTTCTCTTGATGGTGGCGTGGTGCAGGGACGTGTGGACCTTCGTCGAACAGCCGCAGGGAAGCATGCTCTTCCCGACCCTGCGGCTCTCGGCGGTGGACCCCGACTGCTACAATTTCACTACCTACCTGGGGTGGTTCGGGGCCGAGAGCGTGAAACCGCTCACGCTCTTCACCAACGCGCCGCGCGACACGGCCCCCTGGGGCCAATCGGCCTACCCTTTACTCCTCCTCCTCCTCATCATCATCCCCCTCATCATCGTCATCGTTGGGCGGTCCTCTGGCGGCGCTTCTATCGGCGTTGCGGCGGCGGGGGTCGCGCGCCGCTCCACTTCGCGACGGCTGGCGCGCGGGGCTGGGGGCCAGGGCGAGAGGCGGGCGCCAGTTGGGGAGGGGGAAACGAGGGTCAGAACAATGAGGACCAGGAGGCGAAGAAGGAGGATGTGGAGGAGGAGGAGGAGATAATGAAGTTGGGTCCTTCTCGAGCGGGCGGGGGGCATGACGGAGCATCCTCATGTCCCTCCTCCTCCTCTTGCATCTCGCTCTCATCTCCTCTTCCTCCCCCTTCTCCCTCTCCCCCTCCTCGTCCTCTTCATCTTTTCTTCCCCCCACCTCCTCCTCCACCTCCCCCTCCCATCCCTCCTTTTCCTCTTCCTTTCTCTCCTCCTCCTCCTCCTCCTCGTGTTCCTCCTCCTCGTCCTCTTAATTTCCTCCATTCTCCTCCTCTCTCTGCTCCTCCTCCTCCTTCTTCGTCTCGCATTGTGGAGCGACGCGCAACCCCCGCGGGCGGGGCGGGCGCTGTTCTCGGCCTTGAGCCGCGGATCAGCAAAGCGAGGAGGAGGATGAGGGGGGGGGGAGGGGGGGGCGACGAGGACGAGGAGGGGGATGATGATGAGGAGGAGGAGGAAGGGGAGGCGGAGGAGGACCAGGAGGAGGAGGTGGAGAGGGGGCAGGAGCAGGAGTGGGAAGAAGGCAGGAGAGGACGGACGACGGGGCTCTTCTCTCGGAACCCTTTACTCCCACCCACCCATGGGTGGGGTTGAACTCGTTTAAGTGGATGGGTAGGTGCACCTACCCATCCACTTAAACGATTTCAACTGACCTCAGGTCGCGCAGTACCTGAAGTCGCCGGGCAGGAAGGCCGCGACGATCAAGGTGCAGGAGGCAGCTGGCAAGAAGCTGTACAAGGCGGGAAGGGGGGCACATCGATTCAGACGGGGGGAAACGGCGGCAGTGACCGTGATCCCGATCCTCCTACTCCCCCTCTAGAGGGGGAGTAGGAAGAGGAAGTGTAGACGTGAAAAAAAAGGAAAAGGACCGCAGGGTGATAATGACGACAGAGGGTTGTAGAGGGAGGAGGGCGATGGGGCAGGGCAGTATAGCAGGGGTGCAATAGCAGCTGAGGGGCAAGGGCACGAAGGAGGGGGGGCGGAAGGAGGATAAAGAGGATGCGCGGACGCGGCGGAATCGGAGAGGGAAGATGAGGAGGAGGCTCGATGCTCGCACATGTGCCTATCCTTCTTATCCACTTCCTCTCTATGTGCGTTGCCCTCCTCATCATCGTCATTATGCTCCCTCCTCCCCCGCTCTCTTCTCATCGACCGCGACTTCTCGCTTGTCTCTCGTTCGCCCCTTTCCCAGGTGGAGACCAGGCGGTCCACGGCTCCGCGGAAGAACGGCTGGAGGGCTGAGTGGGTCACTGGCGCTAAGCCCGAGCAGAAGGCGTCGGAACAATATCCTGCGGCCTTCTGTGAGATGGTAGGGCGCCTGGTGCTCGAGCGCTAGGTTCTCTCTCGCCTCGCCTTTTCTTGTTTTGGGTGGGTGCAAGGGGGGGGGGGGGGACTGGGGTCGATCCTGCAATTGATGCGACATCTCGTGATTTTGGGCAGAAGGAGGGCGCGGCGGGGCAACAGGGGTTGATCCGCTAGGTAGATGTTACATCTTCCTTTTGGGGGGGCGCAGGGCAGGCAACTAGGATTGATGGCAGGGGAAGTGGGGGCGAAAGCGCATTGGCCATCAAGGATTGAAAGGAACGTGGGCAGGGGCGAAAGGGAAGACTTGCATATGAAACACAAGGGCTAGAGGAATTAGGACTTGACAGTGTGAGTAGATGCATCTCCTTTCCTTCGTCTGCTTAGGTTTTGCGTATTTGCACGTGTGTAATACATCTGCCATGCGCAGTGCGATTCGCAAGCGGAGCTGCGGGATTGAAAAGGTGCGTTCTTCTGTTATGTTGCTTGCTTGCAGTTTCAATGCAACATTATGCTGTTAATTTTGGTTTTCTTGTATTTTGCACATACATGTTCTTATTATAAGATCTATAGGTTCTTATATACTCATATAAATATGTTCTTATTTTAAGAACTATGAGACCTCAGGGAGGCCGGGAGCCATCCGGATGAGCTCCAGAGCTCGCGGGGAGCCCTCGGCCGCCCAAGGCGCACGCCCTCCTCCGCTCCCGCCGGCCGCACGGGCTTAGCCGCGACAGGGCGGTGGCAGGCTGGCCCGCCCGGCAGCTGGGCTGGCCCGCTCGGCAGCTGGGCGGGCCCGATCATGGGCCTGCTCTGCGGGCGAAGCAGTCCGGGTGCCGCAGGGGCTCAGACTTCAGTCAGGCCTGTCCCTCTACAGGGGGAACGTTCAAAAATAGTGAAAAAATAGTCGGTGGACGATTCTTTTATACCATTTTTGAATATTTTTGGACATTTGTTGGGATTTTTTTATTTTTCGTCCAAGATCCCCCTGTAGCGGGACATGCCCGACCTAAGCTCAGACGGGAACCCCTGGCTGGAAGAACAGTAGCTGCACAAACGTGCAATCTCTCGAGGCCTCCCAGATGAGATCGGATAGGTGTGGTCGGAGGATCGCGCCGCATCGCCGATGCATCGGCGATCCGATCTTCTCCACGCGGGCGTCGCCGCTGCATCGCCGACGTCCCCGATGCATCACCGATGAATCGACGATGCATCGACGATGCTTCGCCGATGGATCGGCGATGCGGCGAGTTCCTCCGCCCCCAACTACAGTCAACGCGCATAGTAAGGACAAACGACTTTTTCAAGGGTGCCCTTGGGTCCTTGCCTGCCTCAGCCTCTGCGGCCCGTCCCTAGCAATTTTCGCCGGCCAGAATACTTCAACTTCGGCCTCCAAGGGTCTTGCGTCCTTACCACGCGTCCTTAATATACGTTTTCACTCTACTCCGACCCACCTTGGTGGCCTCTAAATTTCGCAGGCCAGCCTGTATTTCTTGGGTCGGCGCCGGACTCTTCCCCACGCCCGTGTCCTGGCGCCTTCGGCGCCACCCTGGGGCAGAGGGGTACGGCGCCGGCCCAGGAGATCCGGGCGGACCTCCACAACTTCTGCTCATGCAGTTCGCCGCTCTTCTTCTGGGATCGCCTGCCTCTGGAGAAGCAGCGTGTGGCTGTATGTGTAGTCGAGGCGCGAAAGCGAGGACGTGTCGGGATCAGACGGGGCTCGCTGCTCCCGAGTTGCTTCTGTGCTTGTTCTCTTCTGCGCTCCTCGTGCACCCAGGCGTTTTCGGGACCGGAAGCGGGCTTCGTTGCTGATCTGGCGCTTCGTGTTCGTGCAGTCAACTCGCATAGTAAGGATGAGCGACTTTCCAAGGCTACCCTTGCATCCTTCCCCTTCGGCCCATCCTTGGCCGCTTTCGCTGGCCGCGCCTCGCTCGCAAAGTGTCGACATGGCCTTCCAGGGCCCTTGCATCCTTGTCGTGCGCCCTGACTCAACGGGTTCACTGTATCCTGTATGCTGGCCGCCCGTCCGTATCCTGCCGTGCTCCTGCCAAGGCGCCCCCCCCCCGGATGCAAGGGCACTGGGCTTTGCTGTGCTGGCCTCCCGCCGGGGTCGGGCGAGGCTGCCTGGCTGCGCGGGAGCCCGCCCCTGCCCGCGCCCGCAGGCAACGGCATGCGGCTCCACAGGAAGATGCACGAGCTGCCCGGCCTTGACGAGCTCCTGCCGCCGGCGACTTCCTCCTGGGAAGGGGTCTGCGGCGCTCTCCCCTCGGGACGATCGAGGTGCGTGCTGCGAACATGGGCGCAGAGGCCGACAGCATTTCCTGCTCATTTTGAGCAGGACTCGCTGTCGGCGTCGCCGCGGATGTTGTCCATTCGAGACAGGAGGCCGCCTGCCCGACAGCGGCCGCGGTCGGTTTCGGACAACGCTTGTTGCTGGGCATCGTGCCCACTTCGGTCCGTACCCGCTTCGGGCGCCCAGGCTCCTCCTCTCTCTTCGGCCGCAGCTCCTCCTCTCTCCTCGGCTGCGACGGGGGAAAGTGAGTAGGAGGTGGCCTTCTCTGAAGGCTCGGAGGTGCCCCGGCCCTCCCCCGGAGACACAGAAAAACACCCCCCCCGAAAAACCTCCCCCGAACCTCCCCGCACCCGAACCTCCCCCGAACCTCCCCCGCGAGAGTCCCCCGAAGCTCCCCCGCGAGAGTCCTCCGAGCCTCCCCCGAAGACACCAAGAAGACACCGGCCCCACCGAGCGGGGCCCGAGGGGCGCGCTCGCCTCCCCTCTCCTCCGCGGCCGCGGCTCCTCGGCGGGCCGGCACCCGCCCAGCTCCGGCCCAGTGCCTCTCCTCGGGGGCGGCCGAGGGAGGGGCCTGAGGACTGCTCAAAAAAAAAACAAACAAACCCGAAAAACCCTAAACCCTCCGCCTCCTCCTCCTCCTCCTCCTCCTCCTCCTCCTCCTCCTCCTCCTCCTCCTCCTCCTCCTCCTCCTCCCCTCCTCTCCTCCTCCTCCTCCTCTCCTCCTCCTCCTCCCTCCTCCCTCCTCCTCCTCCTCCCTCCTCCTCCTCTCCTCCTCCCTCCTCCTCTCCACTCCTCCTCTCCTCCTCCTCCTTCCTCCTCTCCTCCTCCTCATCCTCCTCCTTCTGCTCCTGCTCTAGCTCCTCCTCCTCCTCCTCCTCCTCCTCCTCCTCCTCTTCGGGCACGTCCTCTACAGGAGGAATGTCAAAGACAGGTAAAAAAATAGTCTGGGGACGACCTTTTGATGAATTATTGTTTACCATTGTGGAGTTTGTTTTTCTTGACCATTTTCAGTTTTTCGCTCAAAATCTCCGTGTATGGGGACAGGCCCGACCTAAGACTAGAGGGGGGGATATCATGGCGGGGGCCATGATGTCTCCCCAGATTTCATGGCGCCTCTTCTTATCTCATGACGTCCCCGCCCCCCCCCCCCTGGGCCGCGCACATGCCGCTGGCCATGAGTTGCGCCCCCTATCCTTGGACGCCCCCCTTCTTGGCCGCCCCCGAGCTTTGTCCGGCTTGATCCGGCCCTACTCTTGGCTTAGTCTGGCCACGTTCGGCCCATTGGCCAGTCGACCCAGCTTAACTTATAGCCCTTCACCGTTCCCACGAAGACTTTCCAGGAGTTACCTCGCAACTCCTCCTCTCTCCACCTCCCTTCCTCTTATTCCTCCGCCCCCAGAGCGAGCCACCACGGAGTGGGGAGCTCTCCTTCTCCGCCGCCTTCGCTCCCTCCTCGACCTCTTCCTTTCCCAGCCCAGGCTTTCGGGGTGATGAAGCTGGCCGAACCTACCGAGCTCGGACCGTGTGTCCCATGCCTGCGTCCTACCGCCCACCAGACCCTTCTTTTCCATCCCACTTTCTCGCGGATTCCTCGTCGTCGCAGCACCAGGCGTGCCGGTAGGGCTGGCTGGGCGTTTCGCCTGCGACTTTCTCACCGCCCGTAGCGCTGAAACTCGGATTCTCCACCAGTTGCACGGGTAAAGGGCGACTGGATCTCGAACCGTGGGTCTTGTATTAACGCCGCTTGTCACCATCCACCAAACCACCCCAACCCAACCCGAAGGCTCAGATTTACCCTCGATTTCCAGTGGGGGGGGTCGGGAAACATCGAAAAAACACGTGTGGAACCCTTACCCCCCCAACCCGAAATTCGGGTCTTCGGGTTGGGTTGGGGTGGTCTGGTAGGTCGTCAGCTTGCGTTCATCTCAGGATTGCCAGCTTTGCCAAGGATGGAAGGTTGGTTTCGTTGAGAACGTTGCTCTCGCGCAGCCGCCGCGCAGATTTTGACGTTTCCCCAGAGCTGCACGGACGGCTGCTGCTGTTAAATTGTGTCTCTCGTGCGTTTGCGTTGCGCGCAGAAGCTGCACGGATGGAGGGCGGCTTCTTCTCAACACCAGTCTCGCTTGCGACCTCACATTTCTATTGCCAGCAGCTTTTTAACGACAGTGTAGCATTTGGCGTCACGGATCGAGTTCTGTTCCGTCTCGAAGCTGGGGTAGCGTTCAACAGCTCTTTTGGTGTTTGGTCCTACCCCGTTGTAACCCCGATCGCAAAGATGATGACGGCGGGTCCGTCGGGACTGATAGGTCCACATGGCAGGCAGGCTCACAGGGCTCATTGACGCCCTCGTCGTTACAGGGATGGGCTCTCGCGGGTGAACAGCGGTATTTTCCTATGGCCAACATGGACAGGACCTCAACATGGAATCTCCTCCTGAGTAGCGCGGGCAATCGCAACTGGCGCATGTTGCGGTCTTCCCCCGACAGGAGACGGTTGTGCTTTCATGCTCGTTGCGCGCTTTACAATATCTGCAGCGATAGCTCTCAGGCTCAGGATGGCAGGGGTGATGGTTACGACGGCGATCACGGTGACACGTCGTTTGACAGTGATGATGATGATGACGATGACGATGATGATGTTGATGATGCCGGTGGTGATGATGGTGCTGCTGGTGATGTTGATGATGACGATGATATTGATGCTGCTGTTGCTGCTGCTGATGATGATGACGGTGACCGTGACGGTGACGATGCCGAGCCCATGATGATGATGATAGTGATGATGACGACGACGGCGACGACTATGATGAGGATGATGATGATGATGATGATGATGACTATGATGATGACGATGATGACGATGATGCTTTTGTATGGTTACGATGATGATGATGGTGATGATGATGATGATGATGCTGCTGATGATGATGATGATGATGATGCTGATGGCGATGATGACGGGTGCCGATAAACGTAAGGACGTTTGTCGGCGTCAACGGTGGCAAGATGATGTGTGCCAGCCCCTTCCTTCAATGCCTCAAAACCACGTGGGCCTGGCGGGCGGTGTCGCAGGCTCCCGGACTGGGGGGACAGGCTGCCCCGCGTTTCATGTAGCAATCGAATTTGCTCTCCCGGGGTACGGTCTGACGTGTCTATCTACATATCTATATATATATATATATATGTATACACATGTATATCTACATACATATATACATAGGTTTTCGCTGGGGTTCTCAACCAAGAGCCGCTCATGGCTGGCGATGTTCCAAAACCGTCCTGTGGCTTCCACGATTTATGTTCATTTCCTGTGCTGCATTCGTGCATGAACGCAGCATCATATGTTATGTTCCATTGAGACGTCTTCGCCAAACTGCAGGTATTTTACCCATGTTCTTGTCAGTCTCCAAGTGTGTTCCGTGGGTTTCCGCGCGGTTCAAACTGGCGCAATCGATTTGCCAGCGGGAGTGCAACACACATCGAACATAGAAACCTTCCCGTGTGAGAAGGGTCTCAACATGGCCGCGGCATGGGCTTGGGGCTCCTCAGGGAATTGCGGGAATCCCAGATGGTGGATTTTGAGATCCGCGCCTTGGGAGATTCAAGTGTCCCCAGCACGGTCCCATCTTTTTAAGGACTGTGGGGCCACGTAGTTATGGTGAAGGTTGAGAACCTCGCCCTGTGGGTCTCGACTTGGCTTCCACATGGCCTGGGAATCCGTTAGGGCTACCAGGAAATCGGGTGTGGTTCTGTTAATAGTGGAACGTTCATTCTCAGAGCCTCAACGTGGCATCAGCGAATCCGCAGCCCCCCTTGGCGAGTCCAAGTGATAGAGTTCGACCCTGAACAGGCCGAGCACGCAAGAGCGCAGCGATCGACGAAGCAAGCCACAATACGGACGACGTCGATCGACGACACGATCGACGGCCACACCTAAGCAGTCTTTCCTAAGCACTCACGGACTGACCACGCCTGGACATCACGAGACACAGCGAGGCTCCGTACGAGGGCAGCGCGCACGCATGTTTTTCGGCACAACGCGTAGCACGTGGGCTTCAACTGGCATCTGAACCAGACGTAAGTGCACCAGTCTGGGGGTTATCATCAACTCATGAGCGTGGACTCGCACCAGAAGTGTCGCGCGCTCTTCGCGGCGCTCGACAAAACATGCCCACTCTGCGAGGGCGAAGGCAAGTCCTAAAGCAATGAGCCGTATCTTGCTGCGGCGGACAGCAGTCGCATTTCGTGTAGATGGAGCTTGCTTTCGCTTGCGGACTCGGCATGGCGTCGGGGCAGCAATGGGAATGATTACTTAAACGTATACGGAATGGGATAGAGAGCTCGCGGCTGTAGGCCACTCACCAGGCGCCGGCGCGCAGCATACCTTTTCACTCTCACTCACGCGGGGCGCCCGGACGATGTATTTTTGTGACGTTCGGCAGTGCGCCCTCCGAGGTGCCCCCGATTCAGGACACTTCGGTCACGCTTTGGCCGCGGGCTGTCCACGCCGATGCGGGGAATGATTCTGCTGCCGAAGAGCATGCTCGAGGAATGGTAGCGGCGATGGCGAATGGCATGCTCCCGCTGTTGGGTTCGGTTCGGTGGCGATCGCCGCAAACCCGACGCCCTCTCCGCAGGCAGGCGCGACTAGTCACCAATGTTGGCGTGACAGCAACGGCAGGGACGCAATGGACGGCCAGGATATGAGCAAGGACAGGGGGCAGGAAAGTGCCGAGGTGCTGGCCGCTGTTGTCTGCCTGAACACGTCGAGTGTGGACTTGCAGCGCGCAGACGCAGCCGAGGGCGCCTGCGGCACCTTACCCGAGGGACGCGTGCCCTCCTTCATCGGTGCGTGCGCTCCTCCTCCTGCTGTTCCCCCGCGCAAGGCGGCGGAGGAATGAGGGCCGAGGGGCGGGCCTTCTCAGAAGGCTCGGAAGGCCTCTGGCCTTCTGCGAGGCTTTCTGAGCCTGCTCCGAAGCCACAGAGGGCTGCTCAGAAGGCCGGAGGGCTTCTGAGAAGCCCCGCCACCTCCCCAAAGAAGGCCCGCACCCTTTCACTTCCCTTCCCCATCCCCCCCCCCCCCCCCCCGGCGCGCCGCCGAGAACAAGGAGCCCCGTCGGCCCACTGGGGGAGGGCGCCTCCCTGCGCGAGGGGTGGACTGCTCCAGCCCGCCTCAGGCGGGCAGCAGCGCGAGGGGGCCGCGCAGGGGCGGCAAGGGGGTGGGGGGAGAGAGGCCCCAGGGCCGTGGGGCGGGCAGGGAGTGCGCGGAGCCGGCACGTCGTCCCGCGGGGGCGCGCGCGAGGCGGCGAGGGGGCGCGACACGCGGCGAGAGAGCCGGGGAGACGAAGCGCGGGACGATACGTTCCAGTGGACTGCGCCGGGCCCTCGGAGCCAGGGCGATCTCGTGCCGCCTCTCCTCTGCGTGCCCCCTGCACTGCACACGGGAAGCGGTGCCGTTCGCAAGGTGTGGCTTGTCTCGGCGCAGCCTGGGCGTGCCGTGCCGCTCCCGCCTTCGCCCCCCCCCCCCCCCCATTTCCCCCTCCTCTCTCTTGCCTCCCCTCCCCTCCCCGCCGCCTGTCCCGCCCCTCCTCTCTCTTGCCTCCCCTCCCCTACCCACCTCTCTCTTGCCTCCCCTCCCCTCCCCTCCCCTCCCCTCGCCTCGCCCGAAGCGCGAGGGCAATTATCGCCCTCTGCGGGGCGGACGAATTCGCTTCAGGCCTTCGGCGCGCTTTGCCCCTCGATTACGCACTGGCGCCGCTTGAACAAGAGGTGAAAAGGCAAATCTGCCCTCCCCCCCTTCCCCCCCAAAGGCTCCCAGACAAAGCATCTGAGCATCTCCTTCCCCCCCTTCTCTCTCCATCCCGTGCCCACGCCGCACTCCTCTGGCGCTCCTCCACCCCAACCTCTGCACGACTCACTCCTCCGACGTTGCCCCCGAGGATCGCTCAGAGCCCCCCCATGAATGATCGATGGCCTCTGCTCGGCGGCACAGCGAGGGGGGGGAAAACGAGAAGGAGGAGGCCTTCTCAGAAGACGGCGGGGACCTCTCAGACGCCCTCGCGCCTTCTGAGCAGTCTTTCTGTCTTGGGGGAAGGCTTAGGCAACTTCTCGGACAGCCAGGGGGGCCTCCGAACCTCCTGCGAAGGCTTTCTCCTTCTCGCTTCCCCCCCTCGCGCGCCGTTGGTCTGCAGCTTGCGAGGACGGCCCTCATCCCGTCTCCCTCCTCCCCGCCCCCCGCCGCAGCTCCTCCCCCAGCAAGCAGACAAGACGGCCATGCTTCCCGCGGGACCCGTGGGCTGGTCAGCAAGGGCTGTGACGATGGCGATGACGATGACGATCGTCACCGTCATCGTCATCGACATCGTCATCGACATCGTCATCGTCATCGTCATCGTCGCCGCTCCGGCCATAATTCGCTGCGACCAACTCCTCGTCAGCACTCCTCGTGAGAGGAGGAGGGAAGGAGGAGGAAGATGATGAGGAGGAGCAGGGGCAGGAGGGAGGAGGAGGAGGAGGAGGAGGAGGAGGCGGAGGAGCAGGAGCAGGAGGAAAGAGGAGGAGGAGGAGGAGGAGCAGGAGGAGGGGGCGCCCTCCCCCAGGTGAACGACAAGTCCAGGTCCAAGTCGCTCTCGCCCTTCAGGCCCCCCCCCCGGGGCGAGCGAGCGGCTCCAGGGGACGTCTCCACCTTACGTAGTCGCCGTCGATGAGTATCCTCCTCCTCCTCCTCCTTCTCCTCCTTCCTCCTCCTCCTCCTCCTCCTCCTTCTCCTCCTCCGCCTCCTCCTCCTCCTCCTCCTCCTCCTCCCCTACTGCCCCCTTCTCCTCCTCCTCCTCCTCCTCCTCCTCCTCCTCCTCCTCCTCCTCCTCCTCCTCCTCCTCCTCCCCCTACTGCCCCCTCCTTCTCCTCCTCCTCCTCCTCCTCCTCCTCTTCCTCCTCCTCTTCCTCTTCGGTCCACCCGTTCAGATCCAAACCTCCTCCGACGATGGGGAAGAATTTAGATGGAGTTTTGGGAGGAGGAAACGGAGGAGAAGGGGGGCGTGCAGGAGGAGGAGGAGGAAAAAGAGGAGGAGGAGGCGAGGGAGGAGCAGGGCCGTCCAGTCTTGCCAGAGGGAGCGCAGCCTTTCTGGCGGCGGTCCGTATCTCTCGCCCGGATCTCTCCCGGGAGCTCCCGTGGCATCGACGGGCCGAGCATTCGTAAAGGGCGCTTTTCCTGGCAGCCTTCGTCCCGGCCACAGACTCCGTGGATTCCTTCCGCTGCATGGTGCAGGCGTGGCGTGGCGCTGCGTGCTTTGCGGCCGCTGTTCCGTTTCCCAGGCTCTCCAGGGGGGCTGTTCTGGGAAACCCGCACATCTTGCAGGGCAAGGGCGAGGATCAGGGGCATCGCCAGGGGTGGACAGGCTCAAGCGGTCCTGGCATCGCTCGGGCGTGTGCATTTTTACTCGGCGACGGCCATCGAGGAGCATCCTGGATAATTTTCGGTTCATAAGCGCACGCACGAGATCGAAGAATACACGGGAAATGGATGTCCGAGCAGTGGTAAGCGGACGGATCGACCCCCAATCGCTCAGTCTTCGCCGGTAGGAGCTTCATGGCTCACCCAGCCAAGGAGCGCGCGGATGCGCCATCGGGGGCCGCCGATCTATCGGCGTATCGCCGAGTCCAGCTCGATGTTCCCGCCCCTTGAGCGGAGGCCTTGGGTCCGCAGAGGCCTCCAGCTGAGGCCTCCACGTGAGACTCGAGTTTGCCAGAGCTCGGCGTTGCAGGGCCCATCTCGATCCGATCGTTATGATTTGATGTCGATTCCGATTCCGGCCGGCCCGATCCGATTCGATTTCGGTTTTCCTTCGATCCGATGCGGTGCTGAGTGATCCTCGGTTTGCCGTCGTTCTTGGCGGTCCCGGCGTGAATTTTGACGGTCTGGTTGTCGTGGGATGTTTGCAGCGGGAGCTCGCACAACATTCAGCCCACGTCGTCTTCTTTCTGCTGACATGCCCGTCGGGCAAGTTCGATTTCCTAAAACTGGAATCTCATGTCTCCCCAGCGGACCTGAGCCCCCTCCTCTTCCTCTACCCGGCTTGTCTGATGTTCCCGTTCGCAAATCATCTTTGCTTGCTGTTTTCGGTGCGGTCGTCCGTGCATAGCGGCTGCGACTTGGCCGACGAATGGGACGCCCTGCTCTGGGGCAGCCCGCGTGAGCGCCCGCGCTAACGACTGCCTGGCCGCCTTCCTTAGTCTTTTTGCCACATCCCTCCCCCTTTCGGTCGTTTTTCACTCCGTCTGTTTTCGCTTCGCCTTCTTTTGATTCGTCCTCTTGCGTTTCGTGCGTGTCTGCGTGCAGGTGTGTGTGTGTGTACCTCGGCGCTCGCCTCCTCCCTGCTGTGGATGCCCTGCCACGCGCGCTGGCCCCAGCACTTTCCGCTCGCCTCTCCTGCCCTCGGCGCAGCTGCAGTTGCATTGGCTGGCGCTCGATCCGTTCAGGTGTCCTTCGGTCGCCCACGTGGCTCTTCGCCCTGGCCACGTGCGCTCAACAAGAGTGTGTGTGTGTGTGTCTGTGTTTGTGTGCGTGCCTGTGTTTGTGCGTGTGTGTGTGTGTTTGTGTGTGTGTGTGCGTGTGTGTGCGTGTGTGTGTGTGTGTGTGTGCAGGTGTGCATGTGTGTCTGTGTGTGCGTGCGTGCGTGTGCGTGTGCGTTCGCGTGTGTGTGTGTGTGTCTGTGTGTCTGTGTGTCTGTGTGTCTGTCTGTCTGTCTGTCTGTCTGTCTGTCTGTCTGTCTGTCTGTCTGTCTGTCTGTCTGTCCGTCCGTCTGTCTGTCTGTCTGTCTGTGTGTGCGTGTCTGTGCGTGCGCGCGTTTTTTATGTGCGCGCGTTTTTGTGTGCGCGCGCGTTTTTTTTTGTGTGTGTGTGTTTTGAGGACGAGTTCTTCCCGCGGGGATGCCGCTTCGAGCCCTGTCGTGCCGGCCGGGCCTCCGCACCTAGGGTGCGGAGGCCGGGCCCCGCCGGCGGCCGCGGCCGCGACCGCGCCTCGAGCGGCGGCGAAGCGTCCATGGCACGCCCGCATCGGGCACAGCACGCCGGTCAAGGGGAGCCGGTGAGTGATCGGGCCCCGAAGCCCCAGACCCAGACCCAGACCCCCTCGAGTAGTGAAGAAATCGCGACGGGAGGTTTTTCGTTATTTTCAGCCTTAGGGGCCCTTGCTGGGCCTCGGGACCGTCAAGAAAGGACTCAGGATGGGAAAGCGGTCCCGGGGAATAGGTCGAGACCTCGGGGGGTCGACGTCATGAAAAAATCATGACGTCGGGGGTCTGGGATATGGGCTGGAATCACTATGTAAACCAGGTCTGCCGTAGTTGGTGCTTTTCGGGCGACGGCAGTTCCGGTTGGTGGAATGGGGCGGGGGGGCGTTCCCCAGTACACTTCACTAGACCAGGTCCCACGAAACCCAGTCCTGCCAACGCCCGACTATAGGCCCACCGAAGGATCTTCTAAGAACCTTTTGTGGTTTGCACGCGATGTTCTCAGAACATTTCTGGCCGAGACCGTCTTGTTTTAACGCATCGGGCTTATGTTCTAAGAACATTGTTTTTCTTCTAAGAACACTCTTGGGGTCTCAGAACATGTCGTGGTATGCCTACAGGATTGCTGGGACGGTCGGTCCCTGCTCGACACGCGTAGCCATCTTGGCCCAAGAGTCTCGGTCGGCACGGCCCGCCAGTTGTCCCCTCCTCCGCCGTTCACGGCACTCCGTGTCGGCTACGCGTAAGAGTGACTCATCGAGCGCGTTCCACTACTCGCAAGGTGCCTATTCGCAAACGCCCAAAACCATTGGATGTTCGATGCAGTGGAGCTTGATTGCCTCGATGCAATGGATCCAGGCCATTTGCGAGCAGCTACTTTGCGAGTAGTGGGACGCGCTTGTCAAGCAACCCTCCGCCAGAATGACCGAAGGTGTGCGGTGTTCGAGTGGGGGCGCGGGGGGGGGGGGCAGACCCAGGCTCGCAGGCTGCCGCTGTCGCATCGCATGCAGCAGCAGGCAGCCGCGCACCAAAGGTCACTCTCGCCTAGGCTCACTCTTGCGTGTCGCCGACCGGCGCGAGAGATGACGATGAAATACCCGGCGGCGTACCTGATGTGCGTGCTTGCGGGAAAGGAGGCCCCTACGGCGGCGGACATCCAGAAGGTCCAC